CTTTATCATGACAAACCAGAAAATATATGGTTTAGGGGTGGGGATCTTGACCATTTACAAGATATTTGAACTTTCTCAAATGACAGGGGTGGGGATGACCCCTAGGGACTAACCCTGTATATCATTCAAACCATCTTAGCATGACAAACCAGAATATATATGGTTTAGGGGTGGGGATCTTGACCACTTAGAAGATATTAGAACTTTCTTAAATGGCAGGGGGTGGGGGTGACCCCTGGGGACTAACCCTGTATTTCATTTAATGGGCTTTATCATTTAGAACATTTTCAATTAAAAAGTTTGTGTCTATCACGAACGGTTTTCAATTTATAATCATTTGAAAATTTTAAAAAATAAAATCCCATAGGGTTCTATAGTAAAACCCTCTTTTCTTTTTGCCCCTCAAAGTACCCCTTTATAAACCCCATTGCAAAAACAAAACCCTGATTGCACCACTAGACATGTCAGTCTAACATATTGTGAAACCCTAAGTTAATCCGACAAGCGGTTTTGGAGAACGGGTGCGGACAAGTTAAAATTTAAAAGCGGCGGAGAAGAAGAAGAAGAAGAAGAAGAAGAATAATAATAATAAGAAGAAGAACTGAGCAAAAACAATAAGTCTTCCCAAACTTCGTTTGGGAGACTTAAAAATAAAGAATCATGGAGTGTCAAACTATAAAGGATAGAGCACAATGGGCAAACTAAATCAAGAGTAGAGTAAAATGGTGTGAATATTAAAGGATAAAGATACAAGGATTTCCTATCCAGACTATTGCAAATAAGAAAAATATCAACATAATTTAAGACTCAAAATTATAGTCTGTGCTTTGATGTTCGTGTTTAATTTATTTAACAAAAGTACTATTTTTTCTAAATACCTGCATTTTCCTTTCAAAAGTTTCTCTCCAATTTTGTATATTGAAGAATCCTGGTGCAACATTGTCACTAGTCTGAAACACAAATATAGTTTGTTGTAATGCAATGTGTAAACCTTAAAAAGTTGGATTTTGTAAGTTTATAATCGTCGACAGAAACTAAATGGTCGTTTTATACATGTGTAAAAATTTCATAAAGAAGTCGCAGATCCACAACATTATAAAATGGGAACCGGTCGTTAAAAATCAGGAACACAAATTAATCGGGGTTAGTATCTCACAAATTGTCACCTTTTGATGGTATATCAAAACGGAAAACAACTTGTTAAAAGTTGACTGGTTCTTCACAATTTTATTATATATAGCCACATTTTACTTACCTCGTTAATATTTGATTGTTGAACATGAGAAGTATTGGGAAGTTTCTTGAAATCAACATCCTGCAAAGATAAAATATATCATTCAATCAACATGTCGTACTAAAATGACAGCTTTAATGTCAATCTGATTTCAATATTTCCAAGCGATCATAGTTACATTTAAAAAAAATAAGGTTTATGCTTATCCTCTGTGGCAATATCACTTTTGCCTTTTTGTGACCATATATATTAATATAGATGCTTAAATCTTCGTCTTTTGGTCTCAGACTCTGGTTGGTGAGTTGACGTATTGGCAATCATAGCACATTTTCTTTTTTATAGACGTAAACTTGTGTGTCTTTTCAAAACAAATAGGAAGTACCGTTTTTAAATGAGGTTAGAATGGTTAGAGTTTTTACATAAAGGTGAAAGCCTCAAATTTTCTTTAGGATAAAAACAGTAATAAAGTGACAAAGTAATTGCTTTGAATTTTATCAAGTTCGATGGGTCAAAGATTTTTGCCATGAAAAACACCCTTATGCTTATGCAAAGAACTAACAGCAGAGGCAGAATCAGCCATTTTTAAAAGGGGGTTCTCAACCTAGGATAAAAAAGGGAGGACCAATTATATATCACCATTCAAAAGCATTGATCGTCAAAAAGGGGGTGCCAACTCCCGGAACCTGTCCCCTTTTGGATCGGCCACTAAACCGATTATTTCCTTTTAAACAAAGATTCTTACCAAAACTTTGTGGATTTTATTCACAGGCTCTCCCGAACCACCGGCGAATCTAACTGAATCTTGATGTTTTGTAGTCCCACTCAGCCATTCTACCGGTGTTGGTTTATCAGAAGAGGAATCTTGGACTTTTCGTAACGGACCAAATCTTGGTCTTTTTTCTTTTGTCTGAAAAAATAGGCAGAAATATAATATATACAATGTATAAATTAAGTAATTGTGAGTGATATACATAATAATGTAGCTTTGCGGGAGGTCGTGGGTTCGAATCCAGCCGTGTCAATTAAAGACTTTAGAATTGTCCACCAAACACGCGGCATTAAGGAGAAAAGGCAAAGACTGTTCGGTTTGAAGTTTGAATAATGTGTCCGGGCAAAGTGACATGTCTTCCTGTTGATTTACCTTTTCATCTAGCTCGTTGAAACTCCGGCATAGCGGGTCGGTTTAGTACAATGCAGTGTTAATATTAATATTAGATTAAAACATGCATTTAACTTGCCGCTGGACGTTAATCAGCCGGCATCCATCGTCACCGATATACACCGCAATATTTTAGAAAACTGACAAAAAACTGTTTTGATTCATTTCCATTCTCAATTTTATATAAGGAAACAATAAATAATATTGGGTAACCAACTATTTTAAAAGTACAAATAGCGAGGTGCTGTATGTTCAAGCTCTAGGTACATGGAGAAGGTGGCCGAGGCGGACATCACTCAAACAGGACTACAAATCAAATTTAAGTAATTTGTGAATAAAACTTTTTTTTTATCTAATTTCAAAATATATACTTACTTGTAAAACTTCCCAATCTCTAAAAGTCCAGAAATCTGCAAGTTTTTGCAACATTTTCAAGGTTTAGAAGAAATATTAAAAGCAGTGAAAATTAGAGCAACTTAATGCACGATCTTTTGGCGTAACTATGTAGAAACGGGGAACAATAGGTGTGACGTCTGCGGCATTCGACGTTATTTACCAACGTTCGAACGGGAGTACGGTTATTTTTTTTCCATCTTTTCTCTATTTCCTTTTTATATTTTGTTTTACAAAATTACAAATATAAGACAATTTTTATTAACAAAATTAAAAAGTTATGAAGTTTCTAATCAGATATAAAAGACAACAGTGACAACATAAATATTTATTTTTAAATAATTAAAATTCACTAAAATATACCTTTTGCAGCTTGTCCGTAGTTTCGTCGAGCTGGAACAAATCATGGACATTCTGCCAGTAAAACTCCTCTTGTCCATCTTGTGCTACGTCCGAGAACGAAGAGATAGGAACGTTTTGAGCTGCAGTGTTTACGTCACAGTTGTGGTTCTGTCCCCTCTCCTTGCTATAACATACTTTCCCGCACAGTTTAAAGTAAATTTGGAAGGTAAAGGAGACTTGCGATCAGTAATGTGGACTGTAGAACTGTTGCCTTGAAGATTGGACTTTGAACTAATACTCGGGTCAAATTGGAAAGGTCGGATAAATTCTGGTTAAATAAATTTTATTTAATGTTAAACTTTCAACACCTTTTTCGAGTCTGCAATATAAGTTTAGTGAGAGAACGTGTGGTAAAAGAAAATGCTAGCTTCTTTTCATCGCTTATGAGAAGCTCACGATGAATACTTTCTCAAAATAAATGGGCCTCGGAGTGTGTCCATGGGACACAGATGATGCCCCCGCTTGCATATCAAATAAAACTATAAAGGGACATCACTGAAGAACGATAAAAGTGACGCCACCCAAATTTGTACTTGATCTGAATTATGTGGTTAAAGGTATTGTGTATGAGTCTCATAACATTTGGTTGAAGCTAACTTAAGTTAGATAACAATTTTCCATTTGTAAACAGCCATAACTCTAGAACAGTAAAAGTGACACCACCAAAATTCAAACTTGATCTGTATTTTGTGGTAATAAGCATTGTGTATAAGTTTCAAACTAATTTAAATGTTAGAGAATGGAAACGAAAAATTATGCAATTTTTATGTTTATAAAGGAGCATAACTCAAGAACAGTAGAAATGACTCCACCAGATTTCAAACTTGATCTGTATTACCGGTATGTGGTAATCAGCATTGTGTATAAGTGTCATACCATTTGGTTGAGGCAAACTAAAGTTAGAGAACACAAACGAAAAATTGTGTAATTTTTAAGTTTATAAAGGGGCATAACTTAAGAACAGTAAAAGTGACGCCACCCAATTTCAAACTTAATCTGTATTATGTAATAATAAGCATTGTTTATAAGTTTCATAATATTTGGTTGAGGCAAACTAGAGTAAGAGAATGGAAACGAAAAATTCAGCAATTTTTCCATTTAAAAAGGGGCATAACTCTTGAACAGTTATAGTGATGCCTCCAAAATTCAAACTTAATCTGTGCTTTGTGGTAATTAGCATTGTCTATAAGTTTAATAACATTTGGTTGAGGCAAACTAAATTTAGAGAATGGAAACCAACAATGGGACATACAGACGGAAGGACGGACGTACGTACATTGTACAGACGGACAAGGGTAAAACTGAATGCTCCCTCCGCTACTGCGGGGACCTACAGCTTTGAGAAGAAGGAGTTACTAAATATCTCTAACAGTTGATATAACTGTAATCTTTTCTCTTTTGAATAATTCATGGTGGCTTGCATGGAATGGTTTAAAGGCTTATCAGCCATACGCCTTGGATTGTGAGTTGTCTCATTGGCACTCATATCACATCTTCTTATTTATATATTAGCCATAGACATATCTATTTAACAATTCAAACTCAAATCTACAGCATAAGTTGCATGAATTTTATCTTTCCCATGCTATAACTATTAATAAAAACTATCTAAATGTGTACTTTAAAATACACAGACTTTTTTCAAAACAACAAAACTATGAAAATTCCAAGGAGGGCACCCACAGGTTAGACAGAAGTATTGAATATCAATAATTGGCATTTTGCGTGTCTCCGCAGAGGTTTCATATTACATGGCACCGTATAAAATTACCTGAAAATGTAAGAATGAACAATACAATTTTAAAACCTGAACTGACACTTCAACAACACCTTGAAGAAACCATGAGGTAAGAATAAAATTTTAGAAATTTATAAAATAATGAAACCAATTAATGGTAGTAGTCAACAATAGATATAAGAAGATGTGGTATGAGTGCCAAGAAGACAACTCTCCATCCAAGTCACAATTTGTTAAAGAAAACCATTATAGGTCAAAGTACGGTCTTCACCACGGAGACTTGGCTCACACCTAACAGCAAGCTATAAAGGGCCTCAAAAATTACTAGTGTAAAACAATTCAAACCGGAAAACCAACGGTCTAATCTATATAAAAACCGAGAAACGTGAAACACTTATAAACCACATCAACTAACGACAACCACTAAACATCAGATTCCCGGATTAGGACAGGCGCAAAAAAAAAATGCAGCGGGTTTAAATATTTCAATAGGTACCAACCTTCACCCTTACCTGAAACAATAGTATAACATCACAATATAGAAATGTACGCTGTTTCCCCTTATCTTTGTTATTTATGAATATTTCATATTCCTTTAAATCATTTCATGCGATTGTTAGATAGTTTGGCAGTTATAATTTTCCTTGTCCTTAAATTATTATAAATCATAATGTATACTTTATAAATATAATCATGATGTCATGAATGTATCATTTTTAACCCTAAAAGTGTAGATTTGAGTTCAAGTTATTTCAATATAACTCAATTGGAGTTCGACGTATTTCTACGTCCTTGTATTGAAGGGTAAACTGTTTCATTTTCTTATTTGACTAACCAAATTGAAACAAGCAAGTCTGCTTAAAATACTGTATTGCAGATGAAATATTTTCAAGGCTTAAACACATTAAAATTGTTCAGAAAACATTTTTTTCTCAAGTCTAGTAGTTAGTATAACACATTGAATTTGATTACTTTATGTAGAAACTTGTTTATATCTTGAATATAGAGCTGACTCATTTTTTAACTTAAAATAAAGTTGTTTTTTTATTGTTTTCAGTCTACTCAAAATAATTGCATGGATAGCCCTTTTGGCATCGGTCATTGCACACAAGCAATGTTCTAAAAATGCCAACCTTTTGAAAAGTATCCAATATCAACTAAAGTTGGTTGAGAGTTCTGAGGGAAGATGTGACTGTGGATCAAAAGACATAAGTAAGTAAATATATGTCTAACACATTGCAATCAACACATGTAAAATGTTCATCCATATTTTCTCCACCTTTTCCCAAATAAAACAAAATGACAGGACAATGCCATTAGTTACAATTACTACTAAGTACTGAGTCAAATGTACAATGACCATAATTATTAAATTAAAAATAAACTCTTTGTTGTAAACATTTGAACTTTGAATTTACATCACAGAAATAATGATAAATTTCAATGAACATTCTCATAAAACAATTATTACATTTATTTTTCAGACAATAATAAAATGGTTGGATTTCTAGCTAAGAGTTCCAAAACACTACACAATTTAAAAGGAGTAGTGGTCTTTGATTCAGTTGTCACTAATACTGGTGGTGGATATGATTCTTCCAACGGAAACTTTGTTGCCCCATAATATAAGTTATATGGTTCGCTACTGACCCCCTACGGATCCATAGAGGGTTAGTAAAATCCATAGGGGGTGAGGCCGAAGGCCGAATCTCCTATGGATTTTATTCACCCTCTATGGTCCGTAGGGGGTCAATAGTTAACCGTATACATAACGAATTTATCGCCCGCGAGACTTTTTTCCGCTGTGTTTTGTAGAGAAATAAACAATAAAACACAACATCAATAGATGACGTCACCATTAACAGTAGACATGACGTCATGAACCCCCTATGAAATTTACTAACCCCCTACGGATCCATAGGGGGTCACCACGTGACGGCGTTAAACCAATCACAACGTGATAATTCACCGGCGGTGCGATAAGAAGGTCTATATTACTTTTCGTGGACAATACTAGCTAATAAAGGCACTAACTTCGTTACAGAAATTATGCACAATGGCAAAGTAATTGTAGGCAACCATGCAGAAGCTTCCGCCATACCCGAGCAGATGTCAGCTACGCATAGTGTTGTACTACAACTGGTAGCCAAGGATAAAGTGTATATTTAAACTCAAGGAACAGGAACATACATGTTTGGTAGTGAATGGTCTTCCTTCACTGGATTCAAAATCTAACAATTTTAAACATGTTGAATAGATACACACATGCTAACTTTTATTTCATTTATAGTTTATTTCACATATGATATACAAATAAACTGAACATAAAAATATGGAGATATGGTATGACTGAAAATGAAAACAATTCACAAGAGTACAAAATGACATTGATGTAAGCAATTATAGAACACCTTATGACCTTTAGCAATGAGCAAACCCATAGCCAAATAAAATATATAAGAGGTCCTAATATGAAAAAAATACGATATAATTCAACAGGAAAACCATTGTCTGCAATATAGATTTAATGAGAGAACATCATCTATACAGACGAACGTGAAGTAAAAGAGAATGCTAGCTTCTTTTCATCGCTCATGAGAAGCTCACGATGAATACTTTCTCAAAATAATAAAGGAGCTAGTTGACATGAAGGGGAGCGCAGTTTGTTCCAAAAAGGAATGCCAATTGTCTTTTGAAAAACACGTTCAATGAACGCAATACATGTTAAACTCTGGGTTTCATGTTTTTAGAAATTGAAACAGTTATAATTTTTAGTATTGAGATTTAAGTCATGCATTGTAACAGTACCTTTCCACAGGATTCGATTTCGATTGATACCATGGCAAAACAGAGACAAATTATACAATTTGTATCATATCTGATAGACACTTTTTTTAGCATTCACAAAATGTGTGACACACTGCAGTAACCGTGTGAATATGTCATCAGAAAAGCGCTTCGAACGCAACGTATTTATAAAGTGTTTCATTTGTCAACTGTTTTCCTGAACTTGTGTATATTTTTATTCACATTGGTTGTTATTAGTTGGTGCAGTTTGCTTATGTGTCTATTATTTTTTTCAATTTCCATAAAAAAATTTATGGTGACATTAATTTAAAATAAGTAAAGAAAGTTCTCACCATCATAAACTGAAGAATAGTAAAACTGTAAAAATATTTTACAGTCTGCAACAAATTGTGTACGGACGAAGTTATGAGTAAAAAGGAAAATATGAGCATTGTTGAAGGCTGTACGGTGACTCATACAGTTGTAAATTTCTGTGTCATCTAATCTCTTTTGAAGAGTTGTCTCATTGGCAATCATACCACATCTTCTTTTTTTATATATTATGTGACAATCCAACATATTTCAAGTTTTGTAAAACTATCAAATGACCTTGACTTTCAAATTAAACAACGTTAATCTTCTCTTCATTGGAAACCATTATACTTAATTCTAGAGTTCTATAATGCCATCAAGCTTTTATCTTTAAAAGATTATCATCAAAGGCAAATGAATTGCACATTACAAGTTATTAAATAGTTATTTCCTCTCCTCAAGCTAAACCTATAGCTTCAGGTGGGTTTTAGGGTATATGCTGACGGGGGTATTTACATAGACAACAATGTAGACTTTATCATACCACATCTTCTTTTTTTATATATACGGCGTTGGATTGGTTTTTGTGATCGAAACTGAGTTGTAAGTCGTTGATCCATCCATCAATAAACCAAAATCGTAGATAGCAGGTAAAGAGGAGCCGGTTGGCCCAGCACGTCATCATGTTTGAGACGTGACTGATGAATGTAATGACCATAAGAAGAAATGACCTAAACCTTTAAAATATCAAGGTCTAGGGTCAAAGGCCAATGTCAACCCAAAATATACAAAAAGACTGGTGGCACACATATTGTGTATCATAGTATTCATACAGGTTTTGCTTTGTGTAATTTCTATTAATGAATGGGCCACATTAAGCAATCTTTTCCGATTTTACTCGTTTCAACTGTACTTAGCAAACTTATAAGTGATATAAAGAAGAAAATAAAAGAGGCTCACACGAGACTTTATCGCTCACCTGCCGTGGAATTTTTGCCAATTATAAATTGATACAATGCAACAAGATCATATAGAAACTATATATGGATCAATATCTGTCTTGTTGATAATTTTAGCTGGATCAAGTTTCAGTGTATCGATGACCGTTTAAAGAGATAAGTAAAAATCAAAAATAAAATGGTTTTGAATTGTGATTCTCTATGAAGTTTCTGCAAAAAACACAAACATCGGCAAAACTCATTCAGAAGCAATAATTCCTATAAAGGGTTAGTTGAATATTCCGTATGTATTCTGGGGGTATCAATCTGCTCTATCACCTTCTCAGCTATGTGTTATTTATATAATGTAGACAGATTTAATTGTAAATCTTATTTAAAAAAATGTTTCTCTCTACAAGTTTCAAAAGATGGATGGAAATAATCCGTCATGGGCAATAACTCCTATTACAAGTCAAATATTGGTTTAGGTCCTGTTTAAATTTTATGCAGATATTATTATGCTGAACAATTTTGCAGTTTACTATGGATTTCTCTCTATCATAACTTCTACAAAATAAGTTGGTCTTTCAAGGGCAATAAATCCTATATATGATCAGTTGATGATTAAGTCTAATTGTGCTAAAGATTTTTGATTTTTACAAGTTTTCTCCAATCTCTTGTAATTTCAGTAAAAAAAAACACCACAAAAAATGTCTTTTCAAGGATAATTACTACTTTGAAGCCATAGTAATTGATGATTGTGCGTACACAAAATTGTTTCCGTTTACTGTTTCTCTCAAAAATAGTTTCTGCAAAAAAAAGAAGGTACAATAACCTTTCAAAGGCAATAACTTCTACAAGGATTTGATTGATTATTTACACCAATACCAAGCTAATTGTAGATATTATTGCGCTTAACATTTTTGCTTGTTACAGTTTCTCTTTATCTCTAATAGTCTGCCATAAAATGCAAAAAACATGTTTTTCAATGTCAATAACTTCTATAAAGTGACAATTTCAGCCATGACTGCTCAATAAACCATATTGTGCTGAAAAAATGTCAATGTTTCTCTCTTATTTTCGTAGTTTTTGTAAAGAACACAACAAAATATAAATATGAATTTCTATCAAAGGCAATAACCTCTGTACAGTATAAGGAGTCAATTCATATGCGGATCCAGGGGGTGTGTGTGTGTTGGGGGGGGGGGGGGGGCACTTATGGCAGTCAATGGACCCCCCTCCTTTTATAAAAAAGTTCTGGATCCGCCACTGTAAATAACGATGTGGATTGATTTAAAGGTAGGCAGTGGCTATTTGACCGTCACCGGCCAAATAGCAAATTTGCTATTTAGCCGGCACCGGCAAAATAGAAAAAAATGCTATTTTGCCGGCACTGAATAAAACTGTTGATTGGTGTGATAAGTAGAAAATAAAAGCGCTAAATAACAATTTAAAATCATTTTGTCACAATATCAAGCAATAAAAATATAGAACAATCAAATATAAGATATTGAAGATGTTCATAAATAAATAATTTATAACTTTATAATATTAATTAAAAGCATGAAAACACATTTGTTTATACATTATTAAATATATTTTTAAAATATATAAATAAAAAAGTTGATTTTCACAAGCACAATATAAATGTTGCCACTCCAAACAGGAACTTCACATTACACTGGCTTCCTTTGAATCTGCGTCATGTGTGCATATGTTACATATGTAGATAGGATTCTTTTTCTTGTCTTTAAATTCGCTCTGAATAGCTTCCCATGCATCTTTTTGACAATACTTTTTAATTAAATCAATGTTTACAATTGAGTCCAAACAAGAGGCAGTTAAAAGTTCAGGTCTTGTTTCAACTTGTTCCTCGGTTATTAAAATGTTGTTATTAACAACATTTTTTGCTAAATCGATTCCAACAAAAGGTTCTAATATAAGGAATCCAAGTTCGTTGGAACTATTCTTATGAAATGGTAAACAATTGCTTTTTCGGGTACGCCAGATAATTGCCGCTGTCTTGGTAAGAACTTAAATAAATTCTGGTTTAGAATATGATTATGTTCTTCACAGTACATATGTGTTATCATCAGCTTATTCCCATCACTCGTTGTTCGTAGTTGTATGAAGAAAGGGCAGCTTTGCGTAAATGTGGCCTGCTTAGGACGCTGACTTGAGCTCTTGTGCATTAAATCTTTTCATTTTGCATTTGAATAAGAATAAAAGTTCTTTTGTCTCTTTTTAATTGCAATTTTTAAAACAATAAAATCGGCAAAGCGTTTGCAAATATGTTCCAATACATGTGGATTTACGTGGGAGGTACATTGTAACTTCCATTTTTATGTATATCTCTGAGTCTGCGCTAAGTATAGATATATCGAGAATTTTATCACGGTGTTGTTTACAAAGCTAAAGAAGCACGTCATATTAGAATTAAAAAGAAAACACAATTTCAGAAAACATGTTACTGTAATGAAACCATTTTTTACGTTAGAGTTATCTCTCTTTAAGCAGTACTTTGAACAGTATTTTGAAAGTGAAAGTAAAATTACTTCCCTTGATTAACTCCTCGTGGTAAAGTTTATCAGTACAAAAAAGTCAGAAGCATGTGGCTAATTTTTCACGGACAAATTTTTAGGCAGATTTAGATCCCCCACAGAGTAAGTTTATTTTAACTGACTGTGTAGTGTTATATTGTTGTATATTGAAATGTTTAGTTCTATTTTTAAGTGGTATAAATCTGTAGAAATGAGAAATTACAAATGTAAACAAGCAGACTCAGTGTATTTTTACGTGCGATGTTGGAATACATGTATCAAAGATATTATACATTATGATTCAGAGTTTTTACATTGAAAAGGTACAATCTGTCATAAAATGAACAGTTATAAAGATTATGGCGTGTTATTTTATTTGAAAGTATAAATAGCTCAGAGCTACGTTCAAATTTTTATAAGTATGGAACGCAATTTGCACCACCTTAAGCTTTAGATTTAATTATTTTTCAAAGTTATTTTGAAGTATGTATGTGACATTGGTGTATGAGAAAGACTTAATCAGATGAGCATTAATTTATGGTGCACCTTTTAAGCCATAATATGTGAATTACACATACTCGACAAATCAGTATTTTTATGTTTATAAATATATTATATGCATATTCAGGAACACAGAAAGAACATTTTACGAACATACAAAACTATGAACTGTTTATTGTGCTATTCTTACAGTGTGTCATTAACAGCATTATTTTGATTGTTAACTAGTCATGCAATTTTCTTGTTCTTGTAGTAAAATTGTCATTTTTGTTTATTTCAGTTTTTTACCTCTTCCGAGAGTTATGTTTTGCGTCAATAAAGATTATCGATATAGCGTTTAACATTACAGTAAAAAATCTGCGACCATGGATCAAGAAAATCAGGACGACAAATGGGTCTTAGACAAAGGTACAGAAAAGGATCAATTAGAAAACCCTCGTATACGGCAGTTGACAGAACGGGGTAAAGAACAATATGAATTAAATGTTTATAACTTTACCAAAGATCTAAGAAGAGTTAGTTTAACGATTGATGAACAAATTCACTCATTTGTAAATCAAGAAGATAACAAGGTAACTACAGAAAGTACCATAAGACTAAAAAATGATTTGGAACAAAATAACAAAAACTATCAAACAATATCCAGAGAATTCTTGGAATATTTAGACCGGTCAAGGTGTCGAGAAAGCATTCAGGAAATATCAGCTCACAAATTAGTCTCAAAAACATTATCAGAGAAGGTACAATATGCAATAAGTATTATTGATGAAACACTATCAAAATGTACTGGTAGTCAGAAGGAACCTGCACAGAGGGATAAAATAACATCCTCTCAACACAATTCAAGTCGATCGCATAGATCGTATGCAAGCAACAGCAGCCATGGTAGCAGACAAAGTTCATATCTCAGACAAAAAATGAAGTCTGAAGCAGCAAAATGCCGATTAGAGTTTGCAGAACAGGAAGCAAAACTACAATTAGAAAAATCCAAAATTGAGGAAGAAGAGTGCATAACAGCGATGAAGCATGCTAGACAAAAGAAGAATTTAGAAATCGACATTAATCTTTTAGCGGCTAAACGGGACGCGATGGAGGCACAAGCGGAACTGCAGGTAATTGATGAGGAGTTCAATTCAGAAACAGGATCTACAAGTAGTAGGTCAAGTGTAAAACTAGCATCAGAAAAACTACATCGAACGAAACAATACATCATCCAACAATCATCACTATCTTCAAGTGCACAAAAGATTGAAACTGTTATCGAAAAAGAAAAAGAAAACAACACTAATGAATTGATCACTAAAGAGAAAAACAATTTCTTAGAGTACAATCATCCACAAGAGCCTGAGCTGGTCGAAAATACAACCAAGTATTCAGTCGAAAACAATATTGATGTTGCAATGGTTACAGTTAGTAAATCAAGTGAAAAGCAAGAAGTACTTGAAACAGGAGAAACTGATATAGCTCAAGAAATATTAATAGACAGTTCAAACATTTCTAGTGCTTTGCAAGTAACTACTAATCCAGTCTTACAACAAGAAACTAATCCTCAATCATTCTCTTGTCCTGTAAGTAATACTGAAACTAGGCGTGATGCCGCAATAGACTATAACAACAATGCTAATCTGAATGCCGCTACAGAATTTGCTAGACTTTTTATGAAGAAGGAGCTTTTACTTTCTCGATTAACATCATTCACCGATAATCCAGAGAACTATCTTATATGGAAAGCCAGTTTCCGTAGCATTATGCATGACCTCCAAGTAACTCCGTCTGAAGAAATGGATCTCCTAATTCGTTGGTTAGGACAAGAATCTAGCAAACAAGCTATTAGATTGAGAGCATCTAACACACATGATCCTAAGAAAGGCTTAGAAAGAATCTGGAATAGATTGGACGAAAGATATGGTTCTCCTGAACTAATCGAGTCAACTTTAAAGGATAAGATTCTCAAGTTTGGAAAAATGAACAACACTGACAATAAACGCTTGTATGAACTTGGTGATCTTTTAGCAGAAATAGACTCCGTAAAAGAAGACCCTAAATACAGCACATTGTTAGGCTACTTTGATTCCTCTTCTGGGGTGAACCCAATTGTAAGCAAGCTACCACATTTTCTACAGACAAAATGGACAGACCGGGCTGTAAGGTACAAGTTGGAGAAACATGTTGTATATCCACCATTCAAAGTATTTGTTTACTTTATACAAGAAATGAGTACAAGACTAAACGATCCAAGTTTCAACTATGACAAGAACCCAACAGGAAATAATGACAAACAAGGTCAATACAACAGGCCAAGGAACTATAACAGTGTGTCTACAAAGAAAACTGAAGTGGCTCAGAAAAGTGGAAATACATGGAAAAGAGAAACTAAATTTGGCTGTCCACTTCATGAACAATCAAACCATTCATTAAACGAATGTAAACAGTTTAGACGGAAACCTATCGACGAAAGAAAAACAATTATTATGCAAAATGGTATATGCTTTAAATGTTGCAATGGGAAACACTTAGCAAGAAACTGCAATGAAAATCAACCATGCAAGCAGTGTCAATCAAAAGGTCATCCAGATGCTCTTCATATTGAAAAAGGGCCAAACCCTACTACTGGGCATGGCGGGGAACAGAATCAGTCAGATGGCAAACCAGCTAATAAGGTTACTACTGCATGTACGCAGATCTGTGGTGACAGTTTTAAAGGACGTTCCTGCGCTAAAACTGTTCTGGTAAAGGTATACCCTAATGGTCAGCCTGAGAAAGCCATTAGAGTATATGCAATTCTGGACGATCAGAGTAATAGAACTTTGGCTACATCTCAGTTCTTTGAACTTTTCAACATTAACAGTCAGAAAATAGAGTACACACTTTCTTCATGTGCTGGAAGCATGGTAGTCTCCGGACGTATGGCTTGTGATTTCACAGTAGAATCGTTTGATGGAAGTATGAGTTTGGACCTTCCACCCTTAATAGAGTGCAATGACATACCTAATGTAAGAGAAGAAATACCAACTCCAAATGTGGCATTCTTTCATGATCATCTTCGATCAATTAGTAGTATGATTCCACCATTAGATTCAGATGCTCAGATACTTTTACTTATAGGAAGAGACTTGGGTGAGGCACACCATGTGTATGATCAAAGAACTGGGCCACAGCGTACACCTTATGCACAGAAATTAGCATTAGGTTGGGTTGTGATTGGTGAGACGTGTCTTGGCAAGGTCCATGTACCTGATAAAGTAAATGTGAACAAGACGTTTGTTTTACAAAACGGAAGGACATCAATTTGCAAACCATGCACTAGTGACATAACAATCAAGGAACAGAATTCTATAGACTTTATAGAATGTGAAGGACATACGGCAGATTCCATATAAGAAATTGAAATGTCTGTCAAAATGAATAAATAAATAAAAATAATAATTACTGTTATTTTAAAGATAATCTGTGAATGTTTTGAGGAATAATGATGTTAAAAGAAATTATAAAAATAATTTTTGGATATGATTGTTTCCGTTTAAAGTAGAAATGATTAAATCAAGTTGAAAAAATGCAAAAATTTTGACAGAATTAACTCCCATTTTTTTACACGATGTTTATGTGTTGCAATGCTTTATGTTGACACTTGTATACTGGTATTTACTAGTGTAGTCTGGTTATTCAAACATCCCTGTTCCCAAATTTGTTACTTTTTTTAGTCAAAAACATCTGTGATATATATTTTTTTTCACTTTCAAATATCTTGCTTTATAGCTCAGTGTCTGTCAATAAATCTTATGTCAGGAATATGCTGTAAAAACTTTCAAAATCATTGTAGGTTCCAATATATGCCAGTTAAAACTGTAAGTCATGCTGTGCATAAGAAAAAACACATGTTGATTCTTTCATTTAACTTTATTCAAGCAATAGTTTTAACTTATATGTTTCCTACATAAGATCTGTCAAACTTGTTTTCTTATGTCTGAAACATTTGAATGTGCTAACAGTTAAAGTTCTTTGACCTGTAGTGAAATCTTGTTAAATGTTAGGCTACAGTATTTTCCAGGAGTTTTAAAGATGACTTTCAACTAGGATTTGATTTCCAATGTCAGTCAAAAAAACCAAATATATATTGTCTGTCAAAATATCTTATGTATGAAAAATCTTATGTCAGAATCAAGTCTGTCAAAATCTTATGTCAGAAACTCAATTTGTCTGTCAAATCTTATGTCAGAAATAATAAAGTCTGTCAAATCTTATGTCAGAAAAAATAAAGTCTGTCAAATCTTATGTCAGAAATAATAAAGTCTGTCAAAATCTTATGTCAGAAAAAATAAAGTCTGTCAAATCTTATGTCAGAAACAATAAAGTCTGTCAAATCTTATGTCAGAAACAATAAAGTCTGTCAAATCTTATGTCAGAAACATAATATTTAAGGCTTCGTTTATTTAAAAAAGATGATGCTCATAATTTTTTTTTTGGTCAAATTGTCTTTATCGATATTAGTAAAGCATGTATTCAAAAACAGAAGTTCATTGCTTATGATTTTTGCCTAACGTGCTTATGGGAGTTGTTTCACTTTCTTATATGGAATCTGCCATACAACAAACTTTGGGACTGATGTATTTGTTAGAACTAGAGATGATGATAAGGTTGGTCCATCTATAGAAGATAGACAATTTCAGAAAATAATGGAATCAGGATTTATCAAGACAGACAGCGGTAATTGGAGTGCTCCACTTCCATTCAAAAACAACCGACCACCTCTACAAAACAACTTCCAACAGGCTTATGATAGGGCTAAGAAATTAGAGGCAAACCTACGTCGCAATCCGAGAAAACAAGAACATTTCATTGCGTTTATGGACACAATATTCAAAAAAGGGCACGCAGAAGTCGCTAAACCACTGAAGCGAGGAATTGAATGCTGGTATTTACCTATATTTGGTGTTTACCATCCAAAAAAGCCTGAAAAAATAAGAGTTGTATTTGATTCATCGGCAAAATTCAAGGGACTCTCACTGAACAATGTGCTAATAACCGGACCAGATTTAACCAATAGCTTGTTAGGAGTTTTGATCAGATTCCGAAAGGAAAAGGTTGCTATCACCGCTGACATTGAGCAAATGTTCTTTAACTTTCTCGTACATGAAAGTCATCGTGATTACTTGCGATTTATATGGTACAAGGATAACAACCCAAACAATGAGTTAATTGAATATAGAATGAGGGTTCATGTATTTGGCAATTCACCATCACCTGCAGTTGCAACTTTAGGCTTAAGAAAGTCAGCTTGTGATAAAGAGGAACATGATGAATCATGCAGTGACGTATGCAAATTTATACAAGATAATTTTTATGTGGACGATGGGCTTTTATCAATGCCGGACGAGGACTCCGCAGTGAAATTGATTAAAGACGCACAGGAAACTTTGAAACTCAATGGAAATCTTCGATTACACAAGATAAATTCTAATAGCAAAAGTGTTCTTGCTCAATTTCCAAAAGATGACATTGGATCTAACAATACTTCCAAAATAGAATTTGATTCAGAGGGACAAAATTTACAGAGAAGTCTAGGCCTTAGTTGGAATACCGAAAGGGACACTTTTACATTTCAAGTTAGCAACGAACAGAAACCTTTTACAAAGAGGGGAATGCTTTCTACCATTAACAGCATATTTGATCCCTTAGGATTCGTGGCACCTGTACTTTTAGGTGGAAAAATTCTTCTTCACAATGCATTAACCAAAAACATTGGCTGGGACGAATTAATGTCAGAAGATCTACTTTCAGAATGGGAAAAATGGAAGGTATCGTTGAAAGATCTTGAAAGTTTAGAAATATCTAGGAGGTTTCCAACGTTTCCACTCAAAGATGCTGTTACGAAGGAATTGCACATGTATTCAGATGCCTCCAAGGAAGCCATTGGCACGGTTGCTTATCTCAAAATATATGATTCACAAGGGAACAGTGAGCACGGATTTGTTATGGGAAAGTCCAAAATTGCGCCATCTCATGGTCATACTATCCCAAGGTTGGAGTTATGTGCTGCCGTCCTAGCTGTAGAAGTTGCAAACTTCCTTTTAGAACATTTAGATATAACTGTTGATAAAACAAGATTTTACACAGACAGCATGGTAGTTCTTGGCTATATAAACAATGAAACTCGTCGCTTTTACACTTATGTCAGTAACCGAGTAGATAAAATCAGGAAATCATCAGAAGCAAGTCAATGGAGTTATGTACGAACTCATAATAATCCTGCTGACCAAGCAACAAGGCCTGCAACGGCCAGCAATTTGGAAAATAGCCTTTGGTTAAAAGGACCACCGTCAGTATCATGCCATGAATCTGACTTACAAGTAGAACAGTCAGAATATGTGCTTATTCAACCGGAACAAGATAAGGAAGTAAGACCAGTTGTTAAGGCATGTAAAACCATGGTTAGTCAGCAACTTGGAACTGAACGCTTCAGTAGATTTTCATCCTGGAAAAGATTAGTTTGTGCAATATCGAAACTACGACAAATTTATATAAAATACCATCGTGAAAAACATTCAGTTATTGACCGTTCACCTGTTGAGTTATATAAGTATACAGAGAAGTTTATTCTTAAAGAAGTTCAGAAAGAACTATATCTGAAGGAAGTGATATGTCTGAAAAACAAACAGTCCCTACCAAAAGATAGCAGCATACTATCTCTTACACCTATGTTAGATGATGATGGTTTACTGAGAGTTGGTGGTAGACTAAATCGTGGAAATCTTTCATTCAGTGAACAAAATCCTATTATTGTATCCGGGAAACATCACATCTCAACACTATTAGTAAGGCATTATCATAAGAAAATACACCACCAGGGACGTCATATAACAGAGGGAACTGTGCGCAGTGCTGGATATTGGATCACTGGAGGCAAGCGCCTAATTTATTTGATACTTCATAACTGTGTTGTTTGCAAGAAATTGAGAGGTAAAACTGAACACCAGATAATGTCAGATCTACCTGTGGACCGTGTCACCCCATGTCCACCGTTCACTTATGTAGGGGTGGACACCTTTGGCCCCTGGTCAATCTCCACTCGACGTACTAGAGGAGGACAGGCAAACTCCAAACGTTGGGCCATCATGTTTTCATGTCTTGCATCACGTGGAATTCACATTGAGGTAGTTGAAGAGCTTACGTCATCATCATTTATAAATGCACTTAGGAGGTTTATAGCGCTTAGAGGACAAGTTAAAGAGTTCAGGTCAGACAGAGGAACAAATTTTATTGGAGCTACAAAAGAGTTAAACATGAACATCATAAACGTAGAAGACAAATTAGTGCAAAAATTCTTATTGGATAATGGAACTAGTTGGAAGTTTAATGCACCACATTCATCACATATGGCAGGAAGTTGGGAGCGCATGATAGGAGTCACCAGAAGAATACTGGACCCAATGCTTCGCAATGTAAATAGACTCACACATGAAGTTTTATGTACATTTATGTCAGAAGTCTGTGCAATCGTCAATGCCAGACCTATTGTTGCGGTTTCAACAGACCCAGAAGCTCCAACCGTTTTATCGCCATCATCTCTTATTACTCAGAAAACGAACACAAATTATGAGTGCTTTGGTCATATTGATATGCGGGAAATGTATCGATCACAGTGGAAACTTGTTCAAATACTTGCGAATGACTTTTGGACAAAATGGAAACAACAGTATTTACAAAATCAACAATCCAGAACAAAATGGTGTGAGGAAAGAAATAATTTGAAACAAGGCGATATTGTGCTCCTAAAGGACAATGACTTAGTACGAAATCAGTGGTCTGTTGGTGTGATTTTAGAAACATTTCCAAGCGAAGATGGAAGAATCCGAAAAGTGTCCGTCCGTATCACAAAGAACAATAACTCTTGTACATACACCCGTCCAATCAAAGAACTAGTGTATTTGTTGTCGCCTTAACTATTGTTTACCAACTGACAATGTGAATTATTGTAGAGACTTTGTACATAGCGGGTACATAGAATTGTTAAATTTTAGTGACTTAGTGAAGAAACAATATATAAATGTTTTTTTTTTTTTTTTTTGTAACAATTTACTTGAGATTATCATTATCATATTCAGTATTTTTGAGTCAGTATTAATATCACTATTTTTATTAATTGGATAAGTGATTTTTCTTGTTAAAAATCAGACGGGGAATGTAATGAAACCATTTTTTACGTTAGAGTTATCTCTCTTTAAGCAGTACTTTGAACAGTATTTTGAAAGTGAAAGTAAAATTACTTCCCTTGATTAACTCCTCGTGGTAAAGTTTATCAGTACAAAAAAGTCAGAAGCATGTGGCTAATTTTTCACGGACAAATTTTTAGGCAGATTTAGATCCCCCACAGAGTAAGTTT